CTAAAATAATTGCTACTTATTTTCTTTTTCTCAATTGCTTATTACTTGACTCTGTTTTCTTTTGGTTGTTTCTTGTTCATGTTCCAAGTATGAATGCAATGGAGTAGTTCATGTATGATTTATGTCAAGATTTTATAGTTTTTTTTTCTTCAAAAAATATATGCATATATTAACTATTTGTATATTGTGTGTATGTAATTATTAATATTATGTACAATTATAATATATAAAATATAATGATTTTAATTAGGGTGTGATCAATTTGATTTTAAAATGTGTAAAATTTGCCTAATCCATTGTTAGGCAGAAACCGGTATATGGAGGTGTTGAATAAAAAAATTGCAGTTAAGAACATACAATAGTGCTTTTTTTTTTCAGTTATTTATTTTTGATGGCAGAAAAAGTTATTTTTCTTTATAGTTATTAACCACTGATGCTATGATGTGAGTTTTGTTTGGATCTCGTTTATTTATAGTTTAAATTGCAATAAAATAAAATAAAATAAATGTAGTGTAAAACTGTAAGGCAATTTTCTTTTATGGTATTAGCATTCAATTAGTCCAATGAAAATTATTAAAGGAAAATTTTAGAAAAATTATATATGTAGCATTTTGAGAAAAAGGTTATCAAATAAAGTTAAAATAAGAATTTCACTCAGATTAAAATGTTATATAGTATACACATGATAAGAAAAAATCCTTCCCTAATAGTATGTGGTGGAATGGGAAGATGAGTTATAAACATATTTTTAACATATTTTTTTTATTAATTAAAATTTATTAAAAATTAAAAAAATATTAATTCACAAGTGAAAAAGAATGAAATACATAATTTTTGTAGTTTTTAATAAATTTTAATTAATAATAAAAAAACATTAAAAAAATATATCAGAGAATGTATTGTGAGTATTTTCGATGAGAAAAAATTAAGAAAAAAAAAACATAATTTTCAAGCACACCATAAAAGGAAGACAAATAAAAATATATAGTGAGCTGTGCATTATATCTACACGGGCTATTCAATATTAATACCTCAATAAATGGCAATTTAAATGCTCTTTAGAATTATTCCCAGTCACGATCAGTCGTTTATCTACCCTGGTAATAATTTTATTTTATAAATTATTTAGAAAATAGTTAATAGACACTAATGTCTGAACCTTAAAAACTAAAGGAATAGAGAAAAAAGAAGTGATAAATATAATAGAGAACAAAAAAAGAAATAAAATATTAAATAAATATTGACATTACTTAAGTATTTAAAAATTAAAATTAAAATAAACTTAGTTTCTAAATATAACAAGCATCATAGTGTTTTTTTTTTAATTCTGTAATTTACTCATACCTATAAATAAATGTAAGACCTAAAAGGGTAGTAAAGGATCATCCTAAATTCTACTGCGTGTATTTATTATTTAAAACTTTATACAACAAATTTTAAATTAAATCCCCATAGATTTAAACTATTAGTACTCTTGTGGATTAGTGTTCTTAATCTTTGTTATTTCCACCAGCCAGGGGTGATTTATATAATTTGGTTGATTAGTTATGATAAAGAATTCTCTTTTGGAATCTTGTTGGAGTTTTTAAAAGTGAAAAATCTGACTTAGAATCTTTTCCACCTGTAACATCCATGACCACCTTAAATTTTGGTGATGGAACCTCAAATAAAAAAACCTTAGGTGGGGAGATACATCATTGTGTTCGTCAACTACATATAATAATTGATATTATTGGACACTACGAATTATTAATTAACATTAATTTGTTCGTGGGATAATCAAACTACATATGATGATGGCATCTCATATCAGTAGCTAGATTTCATTTTTCAGTGGAAATTTATTGATCTAAAAGCATTCAATGAAATCAATCACTGGCTCGTTTTATAGTGTATATATAAAAGCAGTTATTAGGATATATTATTTTAAAAAAAGGATATAATATTATAATTAAATATTATGAAAATTAAACTGGTCATCAAATCAGTGAAGGCCAAATCAGTGAAGGCCGTCTACAGTTCTTTAGTTCGAACAAGATTAAATATCGACCAAAATGCAATATTGTATAATATATTAACATATAATCATAATAAATTAAGTTAGATAAAATTTTCAATTAATATAAAAGACTGTGCTATATATCTTATATGATAATAATAAAAACCTAAGTAAGGATAAATCATAAGTGAATGATACACTCCTACATTTATTAGTGTTAAAACTATTTAGTAAAGCAAGTAGAAAATAGAAAAAAAAAATATTGTTCAATCCAAATATTTTTCATTTATTTTAAACTAATTCTCTTTTAATATTTTGTTCATAGAGTTGTTTAAATTGTTCATGCTGGTAACTTGATTAATTTACTCAATTGGCAGATTAATATTTATTGATGGCATAAATTAAGGATGTTAATTGATTTAGATCAACCTGGCAAATCTTAAACCGAACTAAATTACTATGATTTATACAATAAAACCTTGCTATATCTTTACTTCGATTACCCAATCTACGATATGAAAATCAATAGCTTGTTGCCCATGACCTTCTCTCTCTTTTTTATGCTCTACAATATAAGACATCGTTGAAGCTAAAAAGGCTATATATACTTGCACTTTTATTTCATTTTATTTTTGCTTATTTGCCCAATACTATGTTGTTTTCGTCGTAAAATGGATTTTATAAATAATTAATTAATTAATTTTAAGACTGATTGATATACTTCGCTATCTTACTTTATTTTAATACATATCATGATATTTTAAATATAGGTAAATTTTTAGTTATTAAATTGATAAGATTTAATATTTATAAAAATATCAAAAATATTATTTTATCAAACTTGATAGTCTAATCATTTACTACTAATACATGTATGCCCACACACCATTCTACTCTTTATCATAGTTTGGTTCAGATTTGACAAAAAATATTATAAAATTAAATCTGATCGAACTAATTTATTTTAATAAAATTAATTTTTTTTTTTAAAACCGAACTAAAGTTACTTATCAACACCTCCAATATAAACACATTTGGATTATAACAAAATTGAAGAGAATTTTACCCTTTTAAAAGGTTATATATACTTTCAATATTCTTATCTTTTATTTATTTATTAGGTCAAGGAACGGAGTGACCACAAGAAAATAGAGAAAATGCGTTGCCTGTTTACCAATCAATGCGATATGTACTAAGGTCAACCATTTCCAAGAATTTTGTATGTTCCCATCTAAATTTGGACAAGAGATCTTAGGTTTTTGTTCAAAATGTATAATTAAGTCTAAACAAAATTTTATATGTATTTCTCCCTTAGAAACTAAGTTGTGTGAGAGAAGAACAAATTCAATTTTGAAAAAGTATGTTTGCAACAAAGATACAAATGAACCGTTAGCTTCCCAACAAAAATTTATTGGATTTCACAACGAGGCTCATCATCCATATATTTAGGATAAAATTTTGGTCCAATTTTAAAACATTTTTTTATGTTATTTTTTAATCAAATAAATCTTTATCTCAATTTAAATTTGACATATAAAGTTGTCTTAAGCTATGGAAATAAAAAATTTAATTTTAATTAAAAATAGTACCTAAACCACTTAAGAAATTACATATAAGTTCTATCTTGTGCTTTATAGATAGTGAATGTGTGGACATTGGACCAGAGACCCATACATGTTAACTTCTTTTATATGAAAAAAGGGAAAAAATATTTTTGCATTCAAATTTTTTAAAATATACCTCTTTTTAATTATTCATAGAAATTTAATTGTAAAATGCTTAAAATGCTTTTTTGAATTTTTCATTTTGGAAGTGATTAATTCCAAAGTTAAATTTTTAAAAGTGATTTACAAATTACCTTTTTAAAATTATATTTTTCATTTATATTAAACTACCAAAAAATTAATTTTGGAAGTGATTTATAAATTGCTTCTAGAATTTAATATATGGAAAAATGCTTCTTCATTGTGAGAAAAAAAAGGGGTATCAAATATTTTTAAAAAGGGGAAGATGCAAAAAGAAATTATATAATAAGGGGTTAATCATAAGGGATTTAGAAAAACTCATTCAATCCTAAATTTTGATCGGATCAATCTTTTAAAATGGTACCCTTAAACTAAGCCTAAATAGGACCAACAAGTTACTTGACGCTAGTCATTTAGTAAAAATAGATGTTAACACATTCAAATACTAATTAATAGTTATTTCACTTAAATTTTAGAAAAAGGGGTGCAAGAAAGATTATTAATTATAAGGGAGTTAGAGAAACCCATCCAATCCTAAATTTTGGTTAAGTCAACGTAGATCCTTAACAGTGGTGACATGACATACAACAACTATATTTCAGTAGCACGAGAGAGCATATATAGATATGTCACATTATCAGTAGAGTGATAGGAACCATTTCTCAAGACTTTAAAAATTATAAGACCCAAAAACAAGGAAAAAATATTAGAAGACTAAAATCAAATTTAGTCACTTTCAAAGTCTTAAAACATATTTTACCCCCAAAAACTTTTAATTTATTGATTCAGTAATCAGTACATTTAAGACACTTTAAATAACTGAACGTTGAATGCTCTTGAACTAAAGTCCTTGAGGCCATTGGAAGACCCTTCAAATAATTCACCATCTAACTCATGTCTGTACCTATACTACATCTCAGAATAATACACGTCAACTGCCCACTAGTAATAATGAAAATATATCAATTTATCACACATCTCTCTACCACACTAATCATCATCATTCGACATTATTCATATTTTAGCTTAATAATTTATAATGTTTGACACATGTTAATATTATTTAAATTCCTTATCCAGTCCTCCCTTCACCAAAATTAGATGCCAAACATGCATTTTTCGAGAATTCTTCCAGTAGAACTAGAAGGCAATTGCGTGGTTGTTTTATCGAAGTTGGCCAAACTACATTCTTGAACTTGAAAGGTCAATTACACTATTTGGCATGTCCAAGTCTAACACAGTCCGCCACAGTTACCAACAAATTCATATGTATTGTACTCTCTCCACTCTCCAGCATAATCAAAATAGCTTTTGGTATACAAATATACACGCATCGTTCGAGGTTCTCACAAATGTATTTATAAGAGAAGGGTTTGAATGGGGATAAAGTAGAAACAATATAAAATCACGACAGATTGGTACAAACTAAATTAGCAAAAGAACTAAATGGAATTAGAAAAACTTATCATACTGACTAGTGAGGGAATCTCTCAGATTTGAATAAAGGCCAAAGAGTGAATACTGGCGAAGGTTTTTCACTTCGTACCAAGAGTTGAAAACTGCAAGGTGTTTATCTGTGCCAGAGAATGCCAATTGTATTCCTATGCTGCAATCCACAGGTCCTCCATGGCTCTTGCAGCTGGATGTTTGTAGTGCACAGTCCTGATTGTTGAGACAGACAGCTTTTGAGTTACCCGAGCATTTAGCACAACCATCTCTTTTCCAATATAAATTTTGCAGCCTGCCCCTCTTAAACTCGAGGACCTGCAGAACCAGATTTTAGTTGGTTACTAGGAAGGGTTATGATTATGACAATCAAATAGAACACAAACAATCAAATATCAAAACTATTTATGAAAAGAAAATCTTCCTTACAAGAGTAAAACTAGTGACAGTATATGTGCTGTTTGCAACAAAAGCAGGAGGGGACCTTGCTGCATATTTCCGACCAGCAAATGCAACCATATAGCCATACGTGTCCTGCACAAGGAAAACAATTATGAGGCCCAAAATGACAAACAAACGATCCAACTCCAATCAATCAAAAGAGGCAAATAAATATAAGTTGACCAAACTGATGATGAAACCAATCCACACAGGTCAGGGGTTAGTAACCATTAACCAATTGGGCTCAATTAGGGTTAAGAGCCATAAAAATTCGAACTTTGTTTTAAAACTATGGCAGTACTTGTTAAGTAGAGATTGCGAAAGTGGAAAATAATAAGAGAATTGAAAATGGAGAGAGATAAAGGATTTTGTGCTTGCTTGATTAATGCAATCATTGTTGCACACATGACACATGTTTCAATGTAAAATTGTGGCTGAGATTAATTTAGGCATACACCTCAGTTACCTTAATTCTACCAAAACTTCACTCTAAATTTCAACTCAATTTCATAGTGTCAAAAATTTGTATTCTAAATAAGTTGCGCACACCATTTTCAACTCTTCCACATTTTCATGTTGTCCAGGCAGAAGTGAACTTCCCTACCAAATTCTTCCAACTCCACCATTTTCTAGTAACTCAAACAAGCATGGCTTGAATTTCAAGCAGGACATAAAACAAGCATTTCCCCCAAAAATAGAAGACTTTGATCCACATGCACCAAGATTTCAACTATTACAAGAGTGAAGGACCACAGCAATTACATTGTCACCAAAGCCATCAAAGTCCAAACCACGGTGAAAAATAGGGTTTAGTGAATATTTTCTAGTTAATTGGCATGCCAAAACAATGATAATAATTCAGTGCTAGATTTTGGAATCGATGGTCAAAAATATATATTCAAAAGCAGACAAATTAACCAAATTATGAATTAACAAATAAGGGGGAAAAAAAGAAAAAGAAAAACTAGCCCTAATTGAATTCACTTATTTCGATTACCAAAAACGCAGACTAGTAACGCTCTAAAATCGAAATTGAGAACCGAAAAAGTGGAACAGAGAACGAACCGCGACGAAAGAGGACGAGTTAACGGTGAGGAGCGAGATCTCGTCGACCTTGGGTCTGAACAGCGCGATCTGAGAGTTGGAATTGGAGAGAGAGAGCCTGGTATCGCAAGGTGATAACTGAACGCTGTTATTGTTGCTGTAGAAGAACTTGTCCTTCGACGCGAACGCGATTCCGAGCGTGAATCCGTCCGATCTCTGCACTCGCGTGTCCGTGCACGGAGAGAATACTCGGTTGTTGTCGCCGGCGTCCACCGGCAACGCAACCACCAGTACCGCCACCGCGATCGCCGCCGCTAGTTGTACGATAACCGCCATGAAAGAAGCTTCTAGAAGTTATCGCCAAAACCACACGAAGTCGCTAGTGTGGTGCGAAACTGCGAGTTCGGTTTTCTCGCGTTAACTTCTGCCGTTCACCTGAATGAAAAGCTAATGTCGTTTACGTGCTAAACGACTTCGACTACGTTAAACGACTTCTCAAAGTGCTTCTACCTACAAGCGTTACGTTATTTTAACACTTCCCCAGTCCCCCAGCTTGAATCCGAGTCGTACCCACACTAAACAATTTACCCCGTTTTTAAAAAAAAAATTACGAAGAAAACTATTTTTATAAAGGAGAAGTAACTTCTCACGCTAATCTAAATTTAAATTTTTTTTCATTCAATTTAAATTTTTTATTTAATTTATATTTAATAATTAATAAAATAATAAATTATAATTTATTAAATATAAATTAAATAAAAAATAAAAAAATATAAATTTTTTTAAATTTATACTAATAAAAAAAATATAATATCTTATATAACTATTTATTAAAATATAAATTTAATTTTAAGTTATTTAAAACAAAATGTATGTTATAATACACTAAATTTTTTTTATAAATACTATTCTCAAAATATTTATACCAATAAAAATAAAATATATAATAAATTAAAAAATATATATTATTATATTAATTTATTTAAAATAATTATAATATAATATATTAATTAAATAATTAAATATTAATAATAATAAAATAATAAAATAAAAAATATATTAATATAATATTATTATTTTATTTTTAAATTTTAATTATGTCATGTTTTTATTTAAAGATTTAATTATTTTTAACTTGTTTAAATATAATAAAATATAATAATTTATTATTAAATAAATTTATTATTTAAATACGTGTATAAATATTTTTAGTTTTAAATAAAATATAATTTTTATTTATTATAAATAAAAAGATTATAATATAATATATTAATATAATAATTAAATATTAAATAAATTTATTATTTAAATATATATTTAAATATTATTAATTAAATTTTTTTATATATATGGTCCTCTAAAATTTTTTAAGGGTAGCAGAATTTACCTTAATGATAACTTTTAGGCAATGATATTTTAGTTTTTGAAAGAGTACCTTTTAACTTGATTTTTTATCAGTTCAGTTGCCGATAAGCTATGTCACACCGAATTATAAATCTGCAAAATACAATAGTTGCACATAAGTTAAGTAAATTACAAACTTTTTTTTTTATATTAAGTAAATTACAAACTTTCGACTAAATAACTTGAAAAGTTGATATAATGATACAAGGTCTCGTTATGTTATGGTTGTAAGATTTTATTTCTTTGTGTGGTAAATTATTTTTTTTTATAGGCAAAACAAATATTATTAAAAAGAGTTTAATGGAAACTCAAAATTCATATATACAAAAAAATTACTTACTCAGAGAAATAAAAAGTAAAAATATACTTATGTAAAATTAAGACAGATACAATTTTATGGATTTAAATACCAATCAGCATGATTTGATTCCTCTGTAAATATTTAATTTGAGTAAATAAATTCATATAAATAATAATAAATTTTATTTTATAAATTAAAATTAATTTATATTTTTAAATTTTAATAAGTTAAATAATAATTTTTTTAAAAAAAATATAAGTTAATTTTTATCTATAAAAAGAATTTAATTTATTTTATATAAAAATTTGAAAAATTACTACAACGAATGATGGAGTGATTTCCTGTTCTACACATATCATTTATTAAAAGCAAGCTTTGAAGAAGATATTTACAGATGGCAACAACATGGCAGCTAGAAGTATTTATCATTCTGAAAAATATGATTTATTCTTATTTGCATCATATTATAAATGACATTCAACTCTAGTGCAAAAAAATCCATCATGAGAATTGAGTAGTCATTCATCAAATTCTTAAAAGTAAAAATTTCTTGAAAGATGTTTTTATTTCTTTTTTTTAATATATTAATTTTTATTTTAAAACACTAATTAACATTTATCTAATTCAATTCATCATATAGAGTAATCATTTTGAAGTAGTAGCAATAAGTGTTTACACATTTATTTTGGTTAAAAGTCCATGACTCATCTTTTTTTTAACTCACGATTTTAGACCTTGTAATTTTACATCGTGTCATTCCATTTTATGTCATCTATTATTATTATTAGTATTATTATTTGCATGCAAAGATTATTTCAAACTAGGAGTAATATTGAGGACTAGACAGCAAAATACTTCACAGTTAAGTTGGTTTCCTATTATTAAGTAGTACTACTTATATAGCTTACAGTCTCCCGTTGTGCATTATTTTATTTTATTTTATTGCATTATGCATTTATTTTCCACTAGTGGTACAATTGTACATAATTGTCTGTGAAAAGTCATGTAATTAGCTTTAGCATTATTCTCTTATATTCCATTATACAGGTGCAAATTAAAATCAAGTGATCTCAAACACAAACTTTTGCCCATCCTATTGCAAAGACAAGGAAATTAGGAAGTGCAAATATTATTATTATACACATTAAAGAAACAAATTAAATGAGGTGCAGTATCCAAGTTAAAATAACTAACTTGTTGGCCAATTAGCATGTTGACAAAACTATGAGATTATGTTAGAACAAAATACAAAAAAGACAACTGCTGTGACACCTAAAAGGAAGAGTTTCCAGCTTTGCTGGCAGGTTGCCAGTGAGGGTTGTTATTACTAAGTCCCAAAAAACTCAACCTCTTTAATTCTTGATATAGACTTAGGAGTTTCCCTTGTCAAGCCCATGCTAGAGGGTTTCAAAATGACCAAGTTCCAATTTCTGATATATGCTAATCTCTCCACCTAATGAATTGTTAGACAACCATTTCCTCTAAGGAAAGCATCTCTTGAATTTGTTATTCGTTAGGTCCATAAGAGTCAGGTTCTAAAGATTTTCAAATTCATTTAGAAGATTCCCTTCAAGGTGCTTGTGGCTTACTTCAATCTTCAATGTTGAAGTTAAGCTTACAAGTGTCAAAGGCAAAGTCCCAGATAATGAATTTATACTAAGTAAAAGATTAGCCAATATTATGATATCTTGAAGACAAAAATATTGATATCTTAGTATTTCTTAATATTGGCCTTTTTATGATAATCAACTTAATAAATTTTATTTTAGTGTCTTAATTAGTGTAAGATTTTATTTGAGGTTGTGAAAGTTTGTCATAATATTAACGATATTAATTTTTTTAGTTTTACTTTATGATAGTTCTATTGTCCAATATCTATTATATTTTTCAAAATTTAGATTTTAAAATAGTAATAAATTAAGATTGTTTATATTGTATATTTTGCATAAAATAAAATAAGAATATTGTTTTTTTATGATGAAAAAAAATTCAGATCTTAAGCGGAAAAAATACACTTTAAATGAGTCATAGTTGTAATTGATTTACTCATTATTTTTATATTAAAACATGAGTTCATGAAGTGAACTTATGCAATCCATTTGATATTATTATTTTTAAAAAAAATAAAAAATTGTGAGTTAGCCTCAGCCTATAAGGTTTGCTGGACTTTTTGACCCATGTGAAATTTGATCTAGTATATTTTTTAACCTTAACCTACATGAGTTAGAGTTATGGACGAACTGAATAAGCTTATTTAATATCTTTACATGTGTTATGTTTTTAAGTTCAACTTTATTTGTATAGAATAATTTTACTTTTAAAAAAATATTTTTTAATTTTTTTATAGCTATGTACATTGGTGGACATTTCTCTTAGATTTTTTTTAATATTTATTTATCCTTATTTTCACTAATATCTTACTTGTGACAAGTACATATTCAAATTGAATTTGATCTGGTAATTGAAGAAAGAAAAGACAATAATCACAATATGATGTTAATAACTTATATATCAATCTAAGTTGGTTAAGGAGAATATATAGAATTAAAGTAAGGACAATCTAAGTTATTGAAGAAAGAATAGAAAATTTTGTCTTTTGAAAATGAACTTATATATCGATTTATATAAAATAATATTAGTCTTATATTTTTTTGTCCAACGAGTGTTCCTATCTCAATTAATACATAAATATACATATAAAGATAATTATAACGAGCTATATTAAAATATCAAACAAAATCTTTTTTCATTAGAAATTTCTCATATAATTCGTATTTCAAAAATATTATACCATATATAACAAAATTTCTTTATCCCATATTTTCTAATTGAGTATCTCAATTTGTCATTATACTTCTAGAAGGTGAAAGAATTACAATAACCATGCCACCTACATGACGCAGCGTCGTGTGACAAAAACTATACACTGTCAAACTTTAAACAAATGCTTTTGGGCTTTTTCTTCGAAGCTTTTGGGCTTTCGTAGACATCCAATAAATTCAAAATCCAATGCATAGTTTTTTACCAAAAACATAAAAGCATAATTTGCTAGCCTGCGACCTTATTGGCGTCCACACCGGTACACCACACCGGTACACATGGTCTAGTCAGTTTTCACTCCACCCTTCTGGGGAAGTTAATAACACTTTTAGAAAACTTATTTCTGAAAAATAAAAAAAGTAAATAAAAAAAAAGTCGTGTAAAAAGTGAAAAACTCTTGATCTCTCATCAATCTTAAGAAGTTGAGAGGTTTCTGCAATCATTAAGCAAGTGGGGAAAAAAAAAGCCGCTGTCACAATCACAATCATCTTACTGATTTAACTTTTTCATGAACGCAAGTTATTGAACACAAGGTTAATTATTAGAGTTTGGTTGCTCTGTTTAAAAATTAATGATAATAGTTAATTATTAATTTTTAATTCATTCAACTATTATTATAAGATTAACTCATTTAAGCCGATTAAATTATATAATTTAGGCTTTAAATTTTAAGCTTAAATTAATTTCAAGCTTTTTCAATTCAATCCATCCAAAATTTTTTATTGTTTAGATTTTGGCTGGTTTAATCACTTAAGCATAAAATACGAAAATTTAAGGCCTGAATAAAAAAGGGTTCGTTTAACTTAACCCAACAAAACTTAAAACCTAAAACAAGTGAGTTCGAATAGTCCTCTTGCCAACTATTACTCTTATGACTAAATAAATATATTTGTAGTGTGAATCTCACTTTACTATCTCACAAAACTCCGATGGAATTACTAGTATTTTTTTATATTTAAAATTTAAAATACAAGGCATGATCCATGTACAATTTTGTTTAGTCTTGACATGTAGTTTGACTTTTCTAAACTTTGGTATTTTTATGATATAAATAGAAGTTGTAATGTTAATCTGGTTGGTGACGGTTTTAACCTAAACAGGTGAACAAGGACAATTATTTTATGAATTATATATCAATGTGGCTGCATGAGAGAGAAAGCGTACACTTGCTTTTAAACTAAAGACTTAATCTATAGCTATATTAAACAGGCCAGCCAACAACTAATAAAAACTTGATCCACAACTTTCCTAGTAATGCATGGAACGTGGGCATTCTCAACGATTGATCAATGAGACAAGATTTGTTAATGCTCTTAGAAAGAAAGGTGTGAATTATATTCAAATCAACACACAAATAATAGGAAGATACATGGATGCAATAACACACAAAGATCGTTGACCTACACGCTTGTGAACATGTAAGCATAATCTAACGTTGAGAAAGTGGAATGTATCCACATGCAGTTACCTAGCTCGTTGATTTTTCCTTACTTAATCCCAAAAACATGTCTTTCCTTGATTCAAACGCAACCCTTTCTTAGCCCCTTCCCTTCCTTTCTCTCTCATGATACCGTTGACTTTCTAAAATGATTTCCAAGCAGCTAAATAACCAATATTGCCTTAGCTTCCACCATCACCATGGCTAACAAAGTCACTTCTTTTATTATCTCCTTGACTCCAAAACAAGTTGTTAACATTGTTTTATCATCAACAAGATGAGCAACTCAACTGATTCCTCTGGGTTCCTTGGCTCCAATGGCATTAGTGGCTTTGGAATGGGAATAGGAATTTCAATTGGAATTCTTCTTCTCATTACAACCATCACACTCACTTCTTACTTCTGCACAAGGGCACAGATGCCAACTGCCCCAGCTCCTAGGAGAAGCATTACTACTATCTCTGAATACCTTGAGCCACAACACACAACAATTGATGTTGGGCTAGATGAGGCCACAATTATGGGCTACCCAAAAATGTTGTATTCTGAAGCCAAGCTAAGGAAAAGTGATCATACAGCAACATGCTGCTCTATATGTCTTGGAGATTACAAAGGTTCTGATTTGCTTAGGGTTTTGCCTGATTGTGAGCATCTCTTCCATCTCAAGTGCATAGACCCTTGGTTGAGGCTTCATCCTACTTGTCCTCTCTGTAGAACTTCTCCAATTCCAACACCTCTCTCAACGCCTCTGGCTGAAGTCGTCCCATTAGCAACCAGGCGAGATTAATTCATAGTTTAATTTTATTTTTTTTGGTATCAGTAGTACACTAAGGTTAAGGTTGATCTCAATTTCACAAGGTACTTTATTGATTTATTCTATATTGTAAATTCTTCTCTTGTAGATGTTAGGAAAAAAGTTGTTGAACATGACAAGTATTGGTTCATAATGACTAGAAATTCCTGAAATTTAATTCCTGATTTTCTCAAGGCTTGCGTACATAGAACTTGAAAACCTGGAATAGAAATCTGAAACCTTTTTTAATACTAGTCTGGTGGAAGACACAATGACATCTATATTCCTGCAAGATTCTGCTTTTGGGCAAGTCTAATGTTAGCTTATGTTACTAAACTAAATAAAGATTCTGAATTACAACATTTAGCTGTCCAATTTCCATGTCGTTGAGCATGAAATGTTTGTTAAATTAGTCACATATTTCTCCTAAATCCAAAAAATTAAAAATGCCCACGTCATTATGAATATGGTTAGAATACACATCATAAAACTTGAATAATTCTATTTTTCAAAATTAGATTTTAAGGGTGAGCTAAAGGCAATTTCAAATGAAAATAAATAGCCAAAATAAGAGATATTTCTTTTGCCTGCTGGCACACAGCTAGATGGAAACAATGATAGATGATTCCAATACAAGCAAGAGCCCACTCAGTTTCGACATCCTCTTAACCTTTGTCTTTTGCTCAGAGGTCGGTGTATGTCACAAGCCTCTGCAGATCTTAGATCAGAGCCATGGAATTTGAAATTACCCATTATTTATTTCAATAAGGCATAACAATCAGATTGTATATGAAAAACATCTAAAAGAAAAGATAGCATAATCGCACATCCTGCAATACAATACAGCTTTTTTGGGACTCACGATGTAACAGAGAAATTCCTGAACCTGAACTATGAGCATTAGTATAATAACCCAGGAACATGGACTTTTTATTAATTAAGCAGAACCACAATTGGATAAAAGAACGAAAAGAACACTAGAGAACCCCTTCAATGCTCTGCTTCTGACCCACTCTTCGTAATATAGCTACGGTTCTCAAAAAGTCGAAACTAATCTGATTAAGAAATGAATGTTTGTAGCAGAATAAAATGTACGTTCATTATACAATCAATAATGCTGAATAGTACTAATACTAAAACAAATTTCGTGAAAACGACACAAAGGTGTAACCGTGTTGAGAGTTCAATTACAAACTATAATTTATTTCTTTTTAATTTTATTTCTATTTTCTTGAAATGCAATAGCAATGCTTCTAATTTCATGAAAACTTGTTCGAAGTATTTAGCAGTGTTGTTATAAAATAGGAAGTTCTATCCCGTGACCCTAGAGAATAATGAAGTAGAGGTCAGGCAAATATTTTGAAAATATACTTTATATAACCATAGCACAGGGAAGCCCGCATAAAAGGTCAAGCAATTCGAAGCTAATATGAAACACCCACTCCAAATTCAGGTATGAGTAGCTTCAACGTGGCCCACTTTAAACATGACATTGAAGAAAAATAAAATGAAACTTTGTTCATGCCACTCTATCTATTCTATTCTATTCTAATTGAAGGTAGCCTACTCAGGGAACCATCAATAAAATAAAGTTTATGTTTTTTTAAAAGAGCATTTTAACTAGATCACACATATTTCAAAAAAATATTATAAGTATTTAATAGTGTTTGGATCTCTCGTGTCACTCAATAGGTTCACTAGGAGAAAGAAAAATACATGTATTTTGTGGGTGTTACAAAATGAACATATCTTTCTCTTCTGCACTTCTTCACAGTGAAACTTTATTTAGTTAATGTACTAATTTTTGAAAATTAATTACAATAATTTAAGTTTATCCATAATTAAAACCAAACCCTATTATTATAGGACTTAGTTGAAAAGTTAGAAAATATAAATCAATAAAAGATAAATATTTAATATATAATGAAAACAAATTAGTATTTTCATCCTCTAATTTAAGGGTCAAATTTAATTTCATCATCTAACCTTATTTTGATTCATCTTAATCCTTTAACTTTTTAAAATATTTTAAATAAGTCATTTTCTGTTAAAAGTATTAATTTTATTAATATTTTTTTATTTTTTTGTCACGTGTATTATTTTATTCCTTGTCTATGCATTGTTGATCATTTTTTTTTCCAAATCTTCAATTTTGCTTTTATTCTTAGATTCATGCAAGATAGAAAAAGATTTAAGAAAAACCTTCTAATTGATGTCTTAAAGATCCAATCCTCTGTTAAATGTACAATGCGTAACCCACGTTATATAAATTCATAGGCTTGGAAAAACCTATTAAGAAGTCTTTAAATTTGTTCTGGGATGATGCAATAGGTATCTCAGCACAGTTTGATTCATCGAGTTTTGGCCAACTACACACTGATGGAAATGTGCACATATTTTGTTCCGTGTGTAATGATTTTCATATAGCAAATTCTATGCTTGTACAATTGGATTGGTTTAAATATGGAAGAAATATATAAAGCATTTGTCAAGGCAAAGAAACTGCCTCCACAACACTCTTATATTTGTTTGTCTTTTATTTGATATTCTCTCATTCCTTACCATACACTCTGTGCCAACGTGGAAAAATAGAACAAATTATTGCTCTTGGCTTAGAGTCACTTGCAATTCTAGTAAGCAAAATCAAAGATTTGAGGGGAGAAAAAAGAACAATACACATAATGAATAGTGCAAAACAATACTTGTTGTAGAAAAAAAATAAAAAATATTGACAGTGTTAATATTTTTAATAAAAAAAATTATTTATTTAAAATATTTTAAAAAGTTAGAGAAACAAAATAAATTAAAATAAAGTTGGAATACAAAATCAAATTTAATCCTTAAATTAAAAGATAAAAATTATAATGTTACTAAATAATAAATACTACTACTAAAATTTAATCACTAAAATTTAATCCTTAAATTATTGGATTGCAAAGATCAACAGAAAGTTAGCAATGCCACAGTACTCTATTATAAGCTCAGTTTACGTGAGTTCTATTAAATTAGGTGAATCCTGTTCTAATTTCTTATTTAATAATTTTACATAAATTACAATTATTAATAACAACTTTATTGGAAAAAAAACATAATCAATATTTTTTAAAATTAAAGTTCTATTTGAGTGAACTTGTAAATAAATCACAAAAATAATAATAATATAAAAATAAATAAAACTTCTCTCATAAATTAAAATGTATATTATAAAAAATTAAAATTAATGTATACTTCTTAATTTGTTTAGAAGTTATTTTTATTTAATTTCTCTAAAACTTAAAAAGATAAATTGTTTTTAACCTAAAAAAATTATTTATTTTTATATTATTTTTCTTTTTTTTTATAAAGACTTATCTATAAATTCACTCAAATATAGTTTAAATTGTAGTTTTTTTTAAAATTTAAAACAAATTATACGTAAAAGGACTATAATTAATTTTTTTTTAAAATATAAAGGCTTAATTGCACTTTTAATTCTTATACTTTAATATATTAAACATGTGATTTTAATCTTTCTAATTTTAACTGGTCACATTTAGTCCTTCTCATTTTTTTAAATATACAATTTTAATTCTTTCAATTTTTCAAATGTGCAATTTTGGTCCCTTAGTTTTGATTGTCCACATTTATTTCTTCCAATTTTTTAAATGTTTAAATTAAGTTTTCTGTCGCAAAATTTTATTCAATAATTAATAAAAATATAATTAAAGCATGATATTCTATTGATTTATACAAATAAGTAAAAAAATATATAAATATTTAAATAAAAATATAAAATATAACAAAAGTCTCAATCAAATACTTAATTTAAATATTTAAAAAATTAAAAAGACTAAACATAAAGAATTAAAATTAGAAAAATTAAAATTGAATATTTAAAAATCAAGAGAATTAAAATGTAAGTAATTAAAATTAAAATAACTAAAACCGTATATTCTAAACGTTCAAAGACAAAATAAGAATAATTAAAACTAAGAGGCAAAATTTCACATCTAACAAGGCATATGCGTTAAATTACATAACCTAAAAGTGGAATTAATAGAATATAAATGTGATACACAAATTACATGGAGCAAACCTTCTTTACCAGTAATTAAAAAGTCAAGTCATGCATATTAATGTCAAGTGAAAACAAAAAACGAATGAGCGCCAAGTTTGAAAACAGCTAATACAAAACTAAAATTCAAACACTGAACTAACAATTAATTAACAAGATTCTGCAGTTAGCTAAAAGAAAGTGACTAGATCATGGTTACTCAAGATTATATTACTCTACCTACCATATATTTTATTCTGCAAACTGTCACAAGGTTAGGATATGATCAAAGTATGCACCCGTTAAGAAAAATTAAAATAAACATAAAAAGTATAATTATAATTCTTTTTCTTTAAGATTAATTTCAGTTTGAAGAAGTGTCTATTATCATTTTCATTTATTTATTGTCACTCTCTATTTAAGACTTTTATATTTAAATATTTTTATTATTAATTAAATCAACAAATAAAAAGATTATTTTAAATATAAATTGTTTAAAGAGAAGTAAAAGTAAATATTTTAGAAATATGACGTTTTTAAATATTAAGACTCTATATTTTTATCTAAGTGATGTTATCCCTTGTTTGGACAAGTAATCATAATAAGTGCACTTTTTAATGAGTATAGAAAAATATTATTTTTACAAGAATCCTCACTAAGTATAACAAATGTCATAAAATAAAATTAAAAATAATTTGATTAATATGTTTTTATGTTTTATGTCAAAACATTAACGAAAAAAGGGTTTATGTAGAGCAATTCAAAAACATAATTTGAAACAATTCAGAAATATAAAAATTTAAAGAAGGTATACAAAACAATCAAATGTGAAAATCTAGAATAAAATATGCAAAATCAAGTATAAAATCATTTATGATAAAAGTAATTAAAAATCAGACTTCATCCGAATTCTCATTTATGTAAAAGTTAAAATTTTTAATTTAGTTTTACGATATAATTGAATAATTTAACTCTCTAATGTAATAAAACTTAATGTCTTGATATTTATATTTTTCTTTTTTAAATCCTATTGTGATTAAAAGTTTTTAGGTATATTCATATTTTATTAGCAACTATATTTTTACTAACTGAAAATAATATTTAGTAAAAATCTATATGACACACTCCACCATAAATTTAAATTTGTCTTTGAAGTGGTAAATAAAAAATGTTTGAGGAATTTAATTAATAACAACTATTTCATTACAGGAAAGGGTACTTGATTTCACTATATATGTTAAGAATAAAATGTACGTTTATGTCAAACATGGTGCAATTAAGTAGATACCTAAACTAATATTTTTTATTTAGATAAATCATAACTCTTAATGTGGTACTTTTTAGATGCACTTGATAAATCTATATGTAAAATCTATTGATATGTCTATAACCCTTAGTTGTGGTGTTTTTGAGACGTATTTGGTGGATGAATATGTAATATATATATATATATATATATTTTGTAATCCATAGTCCATAATCCTTAGTAGTAGTGATTTTGAGATACATTTGATGGATATATATGTTATGTAAAAGTGAGACAAATTTCAAAATTCTTACTCAATAAAACATTTTAGATATGTTGAGAAAATTATGGTGGATACTCATTTGTTGGTCAAATGAAGCTATATAATTACTCATATGCTTAAGCCTTAAACGAGAAAAACCTACATTTTGTAAGAAAAATTGAAAACAAATAAAACTCTATTTATAGGAACTAAAAAAAGTTATTGAAGTTAAAAGTATTTATAATATAAAAATGTTTATCTTAGATCTTTTGTGAAAATATTTTTCAAACCTCATTAATATACACTTTGAGAGATAGATAAATAAAAAGAAAGTAACAAATGTAACAATTGATATAAGGAAGAAAAGTGAAAGAAATAGTTGAAATGTCATTATAAAATTTAAGATATAAAAATTATGGTAATTTTTTTTTCTCAATACATACTTTATGTTTATTTTAAATTTAATAATCATTCAATATAGAGAGCAAGAGCAAAGCAATTTATTTTAATGTGTAAAGGGATACTTTTCAGAAATCAATTTTAAAATAATGAAGGTTAACACTTACAATAATTATGTTGAGAAGGTAAAATAAATAATGTATTTGATAATGTTAATTCAGAAGTGATTTAAGAAGAATACATTTTAGTCTAAATTATTAAATTAATTTCTTAACTTTTAGTTTTATTTTAATTTAGTGTTCTATTTTTTTTAATTTAGTTATCTAAATTCTTTTAAAAGTATTTCAAATAAATTCTTTAATAAAAAATGTTAAATATTATTATTCATCTTTTTTTTTTTTTTACTATTTTTTACTCTTTCAATTCTTCCTTCTATATTTTCTTTTCTTGATTTTTATCATCCCTCCTCTTCCTCTTTCTTACCTTTGTTATTATTGTTCACTTGCATATACCAAATTTTACTCATTTTTGTTTTCCTCCCATCTTTTTCATATACATTTACTAGTTCCTTATTTGTGCTCATTATTGTCATCTTCATTGCAATTGCTATAGTTGTTGCACTCTGCTTGTATTTTACAGTCAGTTGATAGTTGGTGGTGTCTTCTCTTGTAGCCTTGATTATCGGAGTTTGAATTAGGCAAAAACAATTGTGGAGGCTTAGATAGAGATAAGACGAGAAAGAAAAAAAAAAAAGATAAAAGGAGAAACAGAAAAAAAAATGATAAAGAAAAAGAAGATGGATAATATATTTTTTAATGAGATTAATGTTTAAAAAAAATGAATCATTTAAAATAATTTTAAAAGTTAAAAATTAACATAAAAAAAGAAATTAAAAAGCGAAATCAAAACAAAAGTTTATGTGATTAATTTACTAATTTAACTTAAATTTTATTTAAATAATAAAGTACAATTTTAAAAATATATATAAACATCTATATAATCTTTTATATTTTACAGCTAAAACAAGTTCCATTGAACCAAAAAACTGTTAAAATCTATACTTCTCTCAAAATCAATTCTGTCAATGACAGCTACATTCCATCCGAAATTAATGTCATGAGAGATGTACTTTATTTTTAAAACAAACAACTTGTGAACAACACAATGTTAAACAATTCAAATTCTTATAAAAATTTAATTTTGTCTTTGTGTTGAGAAGGAGTGCAAGAGAGAAACGGAAAAGAAAGAAGAAATCATAAACAGAGAGAGGAGAGAGAGAGAGTAGTGTGAAAAATAGAGTGAAAAAAATTCAGATTATTCTCCTAATAATAATCGATATACAAGGAAAGTTACACAATAAAATGTTAATTTACTGCATAATTAAAAGAGTTTAACTTTAAACAAAATGTGGCTGTCATAAAAGAAAATGCTAATTTACGTTTAAGAATATCTTAACCAGCTAGTCAAGCAAATAAAATTTTAAACTGTGACGTTTTGTTCGTGTCATTTTCTCTATAATTAATTTTCAAACACTTTTTACAGGAAATTAATAAGCAATTGCCATTTATACCAAAGATTTCACATAATCCAAGCCCCACCCTGGTTTTTACGCGGTTGATAATTTCAAATCTTCTCAACAATCTATTCACAGACAAAGGAATTAAATGTATTCATTAAACTTCAAAAGCTTGCAATTTCATAGAAAATTGGAAATCTAAATAAACAAGATGACCAATTCATATTAATAATGGACTTAATTTGAACTACATTCACCAATAACAAAAGAAATGACAGAAAGGAAATAGATTTTACCAACAGAAACCCAAACCCTAATTAAGTCTAACCATCTCACATAAATGAAACTAGTTAAGCCTCTCAATAGAATGTAAACAACATAAGTTCAGAGTTACATAAATAGTGTATCATCAAGAGATGGCATGTTCTGAGTGGATCCATTGAATCCAGCATCAGCAGCATAAGGTCCATATCCTCCAATGTTGTTAAAGTGATGATGGTGCATCATGTTCCCATCAAAGACATAATTGTTCTGAAGCAAAGATGGTGGATGCAAATTGTTATTAACATCCAAAAAGGAGTTCCCAGAGAAAAGATGATTAATTGAATTATTATTATTAAAATTAGCACTTTGAATGAGGAGGGTTTGAGCTTTGTGAGTGACATGTTTCTTTAGCTCCTCCAACGACCCTTTCAACCATTCGAGTTGGGCCCTATTCATGTCTTCAATGGGAGAAGCCCACCACCATTGGGCTTGTGATGCCTTCAATGAATCACTTAGCTCTTCTCCACGGTTCTTCTCAGCTTCAAGCTGGTTGGCGAGACGAGCGAGCTGCGCGTTGAGGTCACGCGCATTGCTGCTGCGGTGGGCCTCAATCATGTTTTGCAAGGTTTGCGGTGGTGGTGGGGCCCACGTGAGATAACGTTGGATGACAGCATCAACGTTAGGGCTTCCAAAGGAGTAGGCTTTGTGAGCGGGTGAGAAGACAACAACAGCAATGTCGACATTGCAAAGGGTGCAAAGTTCACTCGCTTTCTTGAAAATCCCACTACGTCGTTTTGAGAATGTGGCTTGAAGGTTTCTCTCGTTGCTCATTTTCTTCATCTCAACCTTTTGTCGACCCTTAGTTTTCTTAACAACATCATTTGAGCTCGACATAGTTATTAACTCTTGTAGATAGATGGAAAAACAAAAATGGTGTGTGGGTAGGTAAAATATGGTATGAATGAATGTTACATAGACTATGGTCAATTTATAGGCTTAGACACTCACACTTTGGTTTCGCAAAGCAAACCAAAATTACACTTACTAATGTGATAAGGACCACTGTTTGAACACACTAAACGTTTACCAGTCTTCAATGAACAGTTTTTGGGTTGAGAGAATTTGGAAATAACCTACGCATAGCTTATTTTGCAGGAGATTGAATGTGACAACTCATATACATCTTAACCACCTTCAGCATCTATTTATAAAAATAATATGCAATAGGATATTTCTAGGAAATTTCCTTTAATAAACGTGAAGTTATCATTTCTTTTAACAAATTTGTTTATAACAAAAAAAATTAAATATTCTTTTTATTCTTATTAAAGATTACTTGTAGTTTTTGAGTATTATTAAATGTTGACATAATTAATTAAGAAGCTATGTATGCTTTTTTTTTGTTTGTAAAATCATATAGCAAGAGAAATAAAAAAATAATAACAAATTGCCAGTTGTTTTTCATGCTCCCTTTGCCACTGTTGTAAAATTTTAAATCACTGCAAGAGTAAAAGAATTTGTCTTCTCTTCAATGTATGTAAGGACGGGAATAAAAGAATGTTTTAGATTTTATAGAATTAAGGTTAAATATTAGACTAATGTGTTTTAAATTTGAGCTTTTTTGCTCTTCCGTTTTATTTTTTTTGTTTTTTTATAAGAAAAAAATAATTAATTTATTAAGATGAGTAAAAATTATTTATATGTCATTAATTTAAATTATATTTCAAAAATACTCACAGTAATAGTCAACTTAGTAACTTACATATTAAATAAATAAATATATTCACATGAATGAGTGACTGGTTAACGTAAATATCATAATAAATAATTTATTAAAAAATTAATAATTAAGACTTCTGATGTATATAAGTTGAACCTAATATACTTTCTATTGGTTGGGGATCAAATTCTCTCACTAAAACAAAACCTGTTTCACATACTTAAGAAGATGGGGATATAGTTACCTTTTAGCAACCTATTGTGATAAATTAGTTATTTTTATGTATTAAAAGAAACTGGTTGATAAGAATATGTTTGATTTATTTTTAAAAATATTTTTTAATTTTTAAAATAAATTATAGTACAAATTTGTATTACAATTTTTTAAAATTAAAAACTATTTTTAAAAAGTAAATAAAACATTATACAATGTATGGCTATACATTTCTTCCAAGTTTAAGGTGAGAGATCATGATGTGTTTTTAAATTCAAAATATTTAAATATTAATATTTACTCGTGGTTCGTAACTGATTTGATATTAAAGAAAAATATACATGACTTTCTATTAAATATAATAATTCTACGTATGTGAATTTAATGAGTCTTATATCATCGCATCGACCCTTCGAGTTAATACATGGGTATAATTATAAAAATGTAAAAATTTAAATTAAAAATATTATAAAAAATTAATTTACTAATACATATACATATATTTAAATTTTCAAAATTTATTTTAATTAACGGAAATTTAATTTAATGATAATTTCAAAATATTTTATATTAATTAATATTGGTTGAAGGAATCTAAGTATTAATTAATAAAAAAAAATTCCTTTATTTGAATAATTAAATAAGAAATAATTTATTATCGATTAGATTATATTTAAGGTAAATATTTATGACGCATGTCACAACATAAAAAAGACATATGACTTCATTTAAGTAGAGAATTTGACTGACCTTATAAAAATAAAAAAATAAACTATACCTTCGAAGGTGAATGCATTCTTTTGGAAAATCATTTTAGATAGAATTGCATCGAAGGTGAATTTGGCAAAAGGAGGCATTTTTCTGGCAAGAGATTTGTTATGTCTAGGCTATATATATATATGAACTAGAAAAGGAGCACACAAATCACATTTTCTTTGTGAATACAAGGAGAATACGAAGGTTTCAATAATTGCTTAAATTGGTTTGGGCTGTCAACTAGAACACAACATGATTATCTCCAATTCATGGATCTATATGGTTAGCCTAGAATCGTGCCATTTCAACTCAAAAAATTTGGAAGTGAAGGAAATATCTTATAAAGACCAAATCATTGTCCTGGATAAGGGAATCAAAGTTCAACGACTCCTTTTTTCCAACTAGTACATTAATCTGCCAACTTGTTTTGACCTGTTTTAATTTCACGTTGCCATTGCTAGGCCACCTTTGACATGATTCCAGTTTTATAATCTATTGGTATATACTTTTGTATTTAGGGGGGATTATTGGTTATGTGATTGATTTTACTAACGTGGCGTTTAGCTTATTTTCAAAAATTAGATTAAAAAGAACATATGAATTGGTCGGAGATTTTTTTTAAACGTAATTAATTTAATTTTTATATAAAAAATGAATAGTACTTAAGATTAAAATTGAATAAAAACAATCTTTGATGATTTATGTATAGTCATATAATGAGAAAATGAGAGTAAGTTTGAGTTACTATAAGATGAGCACTTCTACTGAAATATGAAAATGTAAATGATACCATTTAAATATTTTGACATTCCAATTGAAAATTCCAAGGAAGGAGAACACTTGGATACTGATAATTAACAGTATGAAGAAGAGACTAATGAGCTTAAATTAAATCCTAAAACCTTTCATTTAGCGGACACGTTACATTTTCTCCATTTTCAAAGCTCCAAGGAGTGATAAATATATCAGTAAATAGGAAATACTAAATTTTGGGATATCTGAAAAATGGGATGATTGGAGAGGTAGTGGAGAGCATAAGAATAGGAAGAGGCTTCTTATGGAGGACATTTTCACCCGTGGGAATATATAGAAACTACTAAATGACTTCTTGTAGTTAGTTAATGTTGTATAGAGGTGTGAAGATCTCCAAAACTCTTGGCTTTGGTTAGCAGAAGGAAGACAACCATTCAATAAAATCAACATTTCAAGCTTCAGAACATGTTGAAGATTGCCCAGAAAGAAAATCAACCAATCTATGTGGTGCAAGTTCACTCCTTTGTTATGTGCAAACTCTTGTAAGGGATGACAGTAACTCTTGTTAGCTGGTGTGAGGTTGTTGATGTAATGTTAATAATATATTGAGAAAACGTTAAATTACTTGAGAATAAAATGTAATTTAGCTTAAAATTATTTACTTATCAAAAGAGAAATAGCTTTTGGTTGACGGAAGAAAATTTTAAATTGTTGCTAAATGTAAGCCTAATTCTTTCATCAAATAGATTTCTTTTCAATCCTCCTTAGTTTCAAGGTTGCACCAATCTAGCAAGTTGTAGTCAAATTAATGATGATTCTATCACTTTTTGCTTTGATAAAAACAGAAAATAATGTTAACAAAACATTCCTAAAGGTGAATTCATTCACATTCTGATAATCTAATTCTGATGAGTAAAAGATTTAGGAGAAAAACCTAAAATTATATTGAAAGTCTAAAGCAATTAAGACTTGGATATTTTGCACATCAAATTTAAAATGTGCTTTCGATGTTATCTTTCTCCTTCCAAATTAGAAGTTTAGAACATCTAAATAAAGTTAGCTTCAAATTTTAGAATAGGTGGAAAGAAATATCTAACTTGTAAAAAATCTATCTGCGTGAGAAACAAATAATTAAGATGATCATAATTGTAAACAGCCATTTTTTGAGAAACAGAATTAGAATAAGAAACATTATAAAAGCTGGCAATATATTCATCTCATGTGATGGCATATATATTGATGATTTTAAATAATCATTACTTTATGATTTTAAATAAGAGTCATATATATATATGACTCCAAACTCAAATCTGATTTCAAAAATTATATTTTTAATTAAAGCTTTTCTTTTATGCTAATTATAATACTTTTTTATTTTATTATTCTTTTTCTCTACTGAATCATTGTCAGGTCGTAATCTCTATCACAATGGAAGAATAATGAGATTAAGATGAATATTACTGAGCACTAATAATTTACCTTTAAATGTACATATGCTTCAAAAAGAACTTGTAACAATAGTATAAATTGAGATTATTGATAGATATTTTTCATTGTATATATTGCACTGTACAGTATATATATATATATATATATATATATATATATATATATATATATATATATATATATATAAAAGGCTAGCACTATTTTACAGCTCAGCAAATCTTTAAAAAAATCTACAAAAATTCTAACAGAAAAATAGATATTGTAACAAGCTCTAAAATTATATGACAGAATGAACACAATGACTCAGCATAAGTAACTCTTTCTAAAAGACATGAGCTGTACACAAAAATAAAAAAAGAAATATATCATAAATTCATCAGATAAGACTCTAATAGTATGCAACACATATTAGGCTTCAAGGGGGCTATTCATCCTTGCTATGAATTTCATTTGTGTTGGGTTGCTTTTCCAATATGTCATAAATGTACATATGCTAATAAATTAAAATTTTTCTCAATATATACATCATATTACAGAAACAGTAGCAAGTTTTGTTCAATGATCCAAATGGTGTTATGAGATTCCATTCATCATCCGTAATCCATCAAGATAAATGAACAAGCTCTATGGTCAAGTCACTCGAGGCAAGCGTTATTAAGACAAATTCTTATAAAGTAATCTTGCGCTCTGCACCAAACATACTCAGAAGGAAGCATTATTAGACTAAAGATCTCCAACATCTTTCATGTTAAGCAAATATAAACACAGAAATAATGGCACACTAAATGCTACTGCCTATCACGAAATTGCATTCACTATATTCCAACTACTTTAAACTTCCTCAAAGCATTTGTTGGAATATCCTTAATGATAGGTTATGAAGCAATTATCTTGTATCCTAAAGAGACTAGGGAAACAATGCTTGAAAAGTGAGAGCTAAGATATCGTTTTTAATGCACCATTTGAATATAAATTTTGGCTACCGTCAAAAGACTGGACTTGCCCTTTCATTTTATGGTAAACTATTATAAGTTTATGTTTATCCTCCTCCCTTATATTAATAATAAACTTGTAGAATAATTAGATAAATGGAAAATAAAATAAACTTGTAATTTTTAAAAGCTAGTTTTTCAAAAAGAAAGTTTAACTTTTAAAAGTTAGATATCATAATTTTCATTGTCATAGTTCATTTCTTGGCGTAACCGGGATATTCGATGCCGTTGATATAAATAGCAAGCAAGCTTTTGTAGATACCAATTTCATGTATACTTGCCCTGTAACTGTTTGATGAAACGTTTGTCTGAATATATGTGGAATGCTTTTGCTATTAATCTGTATAGCACCGATCTTAAGTTGTAAAATCTGAGGAGAAAGATTAATCTTTTCATTTTTTTTAATTATAAGGTGGTGTTTAATTTTATTTACTTTATGAAAAGTATTATCTTGTTCATGAGTGGGGTTAGTCTTAGTTGTTTTGAAGGTAAGCATACAAAAGATGATTAAACTTTGAATATATCTCAATATAATCATTGAGGAAATCAAGCTCTTCTAACAGTCTTTAGGCCATAAAAATCTGCCCATACAAGCGATTTTACTGCACCTCAATTACCTATGTATTTCTAACAAGTCTTCTGCCAGTGCAATGTTAACCAAACGGCACATAGCATATCATCATATAATATCAAAACACTTATAAATAGTCCAGCAGATTGGCCTATTTAAGATGAAAGGTGATGGAAATGTTCATATGTTCCATTCTTAGTTTTAAACTTGTGTTTCCTCTTACTTATATTGAGGATAAATTTTGTAAATGGATTGATTTTTAATACTAATATTTAATTTTTTTTAACCTTTGCTTCGATATGGTGCATGGGACATGCCCAAGTAGATAAAATGTGTAAGTTATTTATAATTTGTTATAATTGCACTTTATCTTTATAGGCATCGAGTTTTCATCCTAACCATCCATATGTATTAACATATATTATTTAATAAAATTTAACATTATATTAATATATTTTTAAGAGATAAGATGCACTATAGAAGATGTGTTTTCATGAGGATAGAGTGGGCATGTAAGAAAAAGGACATTGCAATAGCTGGTTGCATAACTATTTAGCTAGACAGGAAATGCATAAAGCATTACTTTGAAGGACTCATGAGCTCCGGACTGAGTAGGATTTATCTCCACTAGAACATTTGTCATATAATTCACATTTTAATCAATACAGTTTCTTCTAGTTCTTATAATACATTTGAGAGTTCTGTCAATATACCATAAAAAAATGAGATGTTTGTTGTAAATGAATTTACACGAATTAAAAGGAAAAGCTAAAAGCAATACATGATGTACAAATTGATGTGGACAGTAAGGTGGATGAATATGGGAAAAAAAAACACAAAAAAGTTGGGTTTTCTTAATATTGAAGTCTTTGGAGGAGGTTTTCAAAAGACAAGCGATATTTTGGGTTTTCTTAGTATTGAAAAAGGATATTTTGGGTTTTCAAAACACATGGGTTTTCTTAGTATTGAAAAAAAAGGGTATATTGATTGATTACTGATTAAGGGTACAAGACCAATATACTGATGTACAATAACAGATAACAAAAAAGGATGCAGACTAATAATTAGCAGTAAACTAATTACATAAAGAGTAGTGACTGATAAGACCATTAAAGTTGGGTCACGATTATACAACTCTAAAACTTTTCATGTTTGAAACATTCTTAACAAGGAATTTTAGTATTTATAGTTTTCACAATTAATAATGAATAGAAACAATAACCTTTATCCATGTTTGTAATTAATGTATTGAAACTTTAAAACACATAATAAACTTGAAATACTTTCCAATCTGTTTTTTTTTTTTTCAATTATTAAATTAATTAAAAACAACATTTTATGGGTCTCATAAGGAGAGACGTTATTTTCTTTTATTTTATATATTGCCTCAATCAAGTAATATGAAAAAACTTCTCAAAAGTCATATCCCTTCGTTCAAATATTAAATAATATATTTATTTGTTCATTAAATCATATTTATTTTCTAGATTCACATGGGATAATTGTTTACAACATTTTTAACTAAAAATAAATGGAAAGAATTTTAGAGGAGACTAGGGAGGTTTAGTGAACACATAAGTTAATTGACAGAAGATAAAAACTAGCAGTAAATGAATGAGCTTGAATTGAAGTTTTTAACAAAGAATATAATTTAACAGTCAATTTTAATACGTTCAGTTATTTTATAAAGTGAGGAAATATGAGTTAAATAAATAGTTGAGTGATGACTGATTGTGACATAAGGTTGAATGATTAAGAGAGATAGGTAGATCATATAATAAATATTTAAGCCATTAAATTTTACATGTAAGGTAGGTAAAGCTTTATATTCATCTCCAATCCTCAAAAGGAGACGAGAAACTTAGTCAATTCGTGCTGCAACTTAGTCTAAATAAATAGTAACTTAATGCATTCTTTATTATGATAATAGAGTATTTTAAACAATCTCAAATAGCATTTTGATATGATACTAGTAATTTTTTTATGCATTACATGTACTGTTAAATCAAATAATTTTTAATAAATAATTAAAAAATATATCATATGAATTTTTTAAATTTAATAAATTTTTAAAAAATAAATATTATAATTATCAGCAATCATTCTTATAAATACTCCCATTTAATAATTCTCTCAAAAATAATTCGTGGGTACCTGCTCAAAAGTGTTTTAAAGTGATTTCTCAAGTGAGAGCATTTAAAAATTAGTTTTGATTTTCATTATTTTAAGCAATTTTTTTAGATTAAAAATTTATTTTTAATTTAATATTAAAATAATTTTTGAGTTTTTAGTCTTAAAGTTTATCTCTTTATTAAATTTTATTTAATATAATATTTAGTATTCAGAAATTTGTGCTCACAATTATATGCGAGATCCATCGATAAGTAGAGTTATATTAAGTAAAAATATTTTTAATTAAATATTATTATATTTTAAATTATGTCATAATTTTAAATATTTAATATTTTTTATTCAATTTTGATATGAATTTTAAATTTGTCTTAATTTTAAAATTTTTATCTCTTTAACTAAATCCTATTTAACATTGTAAACTATTAATTACTATCGTAAATGTATTTACTCTTTTAAAATTTATAATATTTACTAAATTTAAAAAGGCATATAATAATTCTATTTTCTTACTTCAATTTTTTTTTGAATTTAATAATATTTTATAATTTACAAAAATTTCACAAATATAAAGTCTTAAATGTATATTTTATAGATAACTTATAAATTATAAGGTCTTAAAAGTTGTAATAAAAATAACATTAATATTAATTTTTTATATAAACAAATATAAGAGAAATTATTTTTGTTAAAAATAAAATGCATATATTACATGAACTACTAACTAGTTAATTAATACTTACAATTTTTAATAAAGAAGAAAAAAAGATAAATCATATAATATATAAACTATCTAAAATAAAAAGTTTAAAAACTGCATCTAAAAAGGATCACTTATAGCAAGAGATTTTCAAATGCCATTGTAAAATTTATCCATATAAAAGTTAATTTATAATTTTAATATCAACTAAAAGAATTAAAATGCACAATCATTATAAAAAATTATAAAATAAGCTTTAATATCATTTTTTTAATAAAATTTCTCTATTTTACTTATTTGTAAAAACAATTAAATATTATTCCTTTAAAAAAATTGTAAATAAAATAACGAACAACTAATAAAATTCAAAATTAGATCGGTTTGAATTTGACATTATTTTCAAACAAAATATTTTTTTATGATTAGATTTGATTATTTTATTTACTTGACAGATAATTCACTTATTTTAAGAGCAAGTTTTGTTAAATTTATGTTATTTAATAATTTTTAACATATTTTAAATTTGTTAATCTAATAATTGTTGAAAATAAATTTCAATAAATAAATTAAGTATATAAAAGTTGATAAAAATTAAAATGTATTAAATATTTCATCAAATACTTTTATATTAATGTACATATATTTTTTAAAATATAAACAAAATAAAATTATTGGATTATATATTTATGAATATTCAATTTATTTAAATTTAGATATGTATAATTATTAAATTAATATTGTATAATTTAATAGTTAAGTTACCAAAATCTAATTTTTAAGCGTTTCGAAAAGAACTATTTAGCATAATAAGTTAGACAAAAATTACTCCTAAAATAAATGAATTCCCTCCTTAGAGATAGCATTTCCTATGTATTAGAATATTATTTGGAATTATTGTTATTTTAATATGCATTTTATTATATATACTAAATAACCAAATTAATTGTATTAAATTTGAACTTTCAGGAGAAGTTGAATTGAATGTTTTTTTTAAAAGCGCTATAAATATAATTTGACAGATCGTTATGATGAATCGGACACATATTTATATTCTATGTGGACGATAAATTACAAATAGTAAATACATTTTTTCAAAACAAGAAAAGTATTATTACCTCTATTAGATTAAAACCCTTAATATTTAGATGTTACATGAGTTGGAACTAATCTGGGTAAAGTACAATGAAACTAATTAAAGAAATAAATTTTTTAGCATTTATTTTTCTATTTAAAAAATTACTAAAAGTAGTAGTAATGTAATAAAGCTAGGCTGGCATAAATTTAAAAAAGAAAAACAATATCAATAGTATGTGACTGTAGCATTATTTATTTATTAATTCTTATAAAATGGGAGAAAAAGAATAATATTGGGAAGTTAACCTCTAAAAGCAAAGTTTGTTTAGCTGTTTTCAATTTCCTCAAACACTCTTTGTGCTGCCGACAATCCATGGAGATGATCAGCTCCAAGCTCTTCTTCTTTTCGACGCTGTGTCTTCTCTACGCGTTTTCCCACGCCACCGATATTCACTATTGCGGTTACTCTCTTTAACCTTCTAATATCTGATTTCATCAATTTCGTTTTTAATTTTTTGGGATTTTCTTCTTTGATTGAGGACTCGAAGAGGGGTTGTTAAAGTTTCAAAATTTTCAATGAAAATGGTTGATTAAATGATTGGGTCTCTCTGCAAGGTTTTTTTTTAAGTGGATTGTGCCTCAATATTTCGTTTTTAATTTGTTGTGTGCCATCAATTTTTTTCAACCACGAAACTTACAGTTGGGAAGAATTTTATATGTATAATCTGAGTTGGACTGAATTGAGTTTAACTAATTGAATAATCGGTTGTGCTAACTGAATTAACGTGTTAAATAATTGTTTGGAGCTTAGATTCTCTTCTAGTAGATTTTATTATTATTTTATTGTTTTTTAGTTGTGATTTGTGAAGGATTCTTCTCTTTGATTAGTTTTATAGAACTTAATAATTTACTTATGTTTTATTCTGTTATATTCTTGTTGTTTTGCCATTTATTGAATAAACTATTGCTTAATTGTTTTGGGCAGATAAGAAAGCTGATTATGATGTTGAGGTCAAAGGAGTTCAAATATCTCCTGATCCCATCGCTAGAGGCCAGCCTGCCACATTCAGCATTGCTGCAACTACTGGTACTTTGGAATTTCACATGTTTTTCTTATATTACTGTGTTTTCTTTTTCTTTTTTTCCCTGTTATATCCATTTTCATGCATTTGATGTTTCTTTATGTGCATTTGTGTTCGTTATTTTACTTATTTATTTGTCTAATGTTATTTGGAAATCTGAGTGCGATTGTAGTAGTGATACCATTTGAGATAGGGATGGATGAGGTTTTGATGGGTAAATAATTATCCCCTTTCTCTAATCCAAGTATTTCACAACTCAGGTAAAGCATTATCTGGAGGGAAGCTTTTGATTGATGTGTCGTATTTTGGATGGCACATACATAGTGAGACTCATGACCTTTGTGGAGAAACTTCTTGCCCTGTTTCAGTTGGTGATTTTGTGATTGCTCATTCACAAATTTTACCTGGATTCACTCCACCTGTAAGTCAATGTTTTGTTAATTCCTTGTGCACTCGTGCCTCAGTGCTTTGGTATGTGTATTTCCAATATCTTGCTAAATTGTTGGCTTTTCCTATATCATTGAAACTTGGGAAGAAATCTTTGTCTTGTACTCATGTTGTGACATGTAGGAATCTTATGATAGGGATTAACTTTTGTGGAACTCAACTGCAATCTGGTGATGTGTCTTGAGTCTTGACATTGTTATGTATACTTACATAGAACTAATATACTACTTGTTTTATCATTTCATTTGCAATGTTTCTCTATGGGGATAGGAGGGTGAAGTCAGTATGGTTGACATGAATTTTCTTGTGATGTTCTCATAAGTGGTGCATAACTATTCCTTTAACCAATGTAGAAATGACAGTTTCAATGTGTTGAAGTTTTGTTTATTTCTATTTAAAAAATGTTGCTAATATTTTTCTAACGGCGACATGCTTATTAATTTAGTCAAGCAAGGCAGCATGAACCTTTGTTATCATCAAGAAAAGTTTTCACTTTTCATGAATGCTGTATTGACAATTCCTAGTTCATTGTCCTGTTATATATCCCCTTTAGCAGTCACAGCTCTGTGTGTTTTCTGCTAATGCTAGAGCATTAACTTGCATCTATCCTTTCCCTTGGAGAGGTTTAAAGGTTGAATTGGAATGTAGCATGTTTGCGGCTCATTTAAGTTTCAAGTAAAGCAATGAATTATGTTGTTAAGAGTGTTTATTTATGTATCCTTTCTTGCTTAATGCTAGTGTGCTATTTTTATTTTGAATCTCAGAGCTCTCACCTTATGCCTTGTTTTTTCAGGGTTCATACTCTTTGAAGATGAAGATGTATGATGGAAACAAGCACGAGTTAACCTGCATTCAATTTGGTTTTGATATTGGGTTTGGTTCCTCTGTGGCTGATAGCTGATTGAAATCGGTGGTTGAAATCTATGATCAGAAACAAATCCATATAAAATTATTTGTACAAACTGCAAAGTATCCTTATAATACTGAGATCCTTGTTTTATAATTCATCATGAATAGTATGTAAGAATCAGAACATGTGTTGTACTTAATGGGATTAGAAAAGTCAAACTATGCTTATGTATCTATTTTTCTATCTTTTGACTATGCTCAGAAGGTGTGGACAATTGTAATGGTATATATCTATTTTGGCTATGTTCTGAGGGTTGTTATGTTGTGAATTGTGATGTAATGATATATTTCTTCACGCATACATTTAGGATAAAAAGAGAGATAATAATAATAATATTTCACACCTTTCTCTGTTCTCTTTCATCTCATTCTCATTCTCGTTCACTCTCTCTCTCTCTCTCTCTTCTATCATTTTGCTTGTTATATCTATTACTTTTTCTCTTTTTCTTTTCTAGGGACTAATATATCATTTCAATCTCGTAATAAAATTAAAAATATGGTGCAAAATTTCTGGTCTGCATAGAAGTGATATAGGAAGCAAAGAAAAGTTAGTGCATACATTTTTTCTGTATTTTGCTCCAGTTTGGTAGGAGTGTCAAGGTAAAGCTGATTTAATGAATGTCAAAGTAAGGCAATTGGGAGGAACAATGTTATACCTATTTTTAGGATGTAAATGAGATGAATCCAAATGAGTACTCGAAGTTTCAAACTTAATTTGTGAAAAAAAGTAATTATTTAATATTGATTCATTTATTTAAATAACCTGGAATTAAAGCTTGAACATAACTTAGTTTAAAATTCTTAAACTTGGACTTGATTTATTTTCTCATTTTTTACTCTATTATTTTTTATCAATTTGGTATTCAACCGTTAATTTTGTATTAAAAGTGAAGTAAAATGATAACATAATATAATTTTCAATACATAAAAGAAGCTTTTTTACGGAAATAAAAATAAAATACATATTACACACATCCCCAAATTGAATTTCTTTTGCATAAGTGTTTTAATTTGAGTATAATAGCAGTGGATTAAAACTTACTTTCGTGCAAAAGATAAGTTTATTTTATTTGACTTTTGTTCCAAGCATGACTGCACATCACTTGTTCATGTGCATGTTTTTGGCTATGAAATTAATTATAATAGACTTTGGTGTATTTGAGAAGGTGTGTGGTAAGTTGATTGTAATGGATTTTAGTATTGTAATTGACTTTTGAGAGGGTCAATACTTAAGTTTAATCAACTTTTAAGGGGGTCAGAACTCAAGTTTAATCAACTTGTGCATCTATTTATTCTCCACATTGATGAAGCAAAACGCACTCTAAGAAAGGCACAGTGAAAATAGATATAGTGAGAGAAAGAAGGGAGGAGATGGACTAGATATTTTGACACAAAGGTGATAAAAAAGAGGTGTTCAATGTGGTTATGACAGAGATAGATTATTATATATACTGACTTAATTATGTTAGTCATGTTACAAGTAAATTATCAGGATAATTTTTTTTTGTTTTAAATTATTTTATTATTATTTTTTATTCAATTTAATGTATCATTAATTTTTTATTTGTCTGCTTAGAGCGATTTGTAAATATTAATTTAATTATTGAATATTTAATCAATTCTCTATTATATATTTATTTGTTATAGTAATGTATATGTACTATTTAGATTTATTGTAGTTTTAGAATTAAAGAGCATATGTTAGTTGATTTTAGTTGTAATGCATATAATTAGTTCAATTTAGTAATAATAAATAGGATAAAATTTTACTGTTAGTGTATTGAATAATAGCATTTTTTGTGTAATTTACTATTTGTTATTATAAATTAAATAATTTAAATTTTAGGTAAGCGAACGTTTAGATTGTAGCTCGGTAAATTTTAATAAATTTAAATTTAGTGTGTTAAATTTATTTCGAGAGAATTTTAATTTAGTTTTGTGTTACAATGATTTATTTATTATAATAAAACTTTATATATTAAGATAATCTTATTTTAGTATGATGTATGGTTTGCTTTTGATATAATTTTAGTTATAATTCATAAAATTTAGTAAATTAAATTTTAGATTTTGTTAAATTTATTTTAAGGTTATTAATTTAAGTGTAATTTTGTTGTATAAATTTATTTAAATACAATATTGTATATGAAGAAAATCTTAAGCAATATTTTGGTGCAAACAAAATTTATTTTATGTTTAGTTTGTAGAAATGAATATTGTCTAATAAATAATATTTTTATCCTATAAGATACTCAAATTTTAAAGTAGTTACAATAATATGATGGTTACTTCAAATTTAAGGATGGAACCACTTCTTAACTATATTGATTTTTGGCATGTTATGCAGATGGTCCTAGTATTCAATTATGATAGGACGCTCATTAGTATCCTTGTGGAGCGTTGGAAGCTTTAGTCACATGCATTCCATCTTTTGTACGGATGGGCTCCCTATATGAGTGGCTACATGGGAGCGTGAGAGAAATTTTATGATGAGGATAGTAGTTTCGAATGAGAGAGACATAAAATGATTTTCTATAAATCTGCATTAGTTCATAGATACGTTTAGAGCATTGTCGCATAACGCTAATGAGGAGACTATTATTTGTTACAATATAGTGTACATAATGATTCTATTTGGTGATATTATGTTCTCAAAAAAATTAAGATTTAGGGTTCATATGAAGTGACCCTCTTACTAATTTCAATGGAACTGCAAACTATAGTTGAAGGTTTGCTGTTCTAGGATTTCTTTATTGAGAGCTTTACTGCGGGGTGAAATACAATGTCATTGATATTATAGGTTGTTTACTTCTTCTACACTCTTGGGCATGGTATAAAATACCTCAATTAGCCCTTACAGTCTTAGGCATGGTCCGACAAACACTTCTCAAGAAAAAAAAAACCATGTTTTTTTTTTTTTTTATCTTTCCTTCACCATGATAAATGCAACTGACAAGAGATTAGGCTTTTCATCTTGGACAATTTTCATCAACTATGTTCCAACGTACTTGCCATACAAGTGCATTTCGCATGTGAATACACATTTTTTGCCATTCAAGGAAAGCGGTTGAATGCATTATGTCATGGTCAGTTATACCAAAAAATGATGAAAAAAGCTTTTGACGAAAAAAGTGTCCAAGAGAATTTGTTGAAGGAGATATGGTGCTCAAAGAGATTTTACTGACACACAAAGATTATCGTGGCAAGTGGTCTCCAAATTATGAAGGACCCTATGTGGTGAAAAAGGCGTTCTCAAGAGGAGCTTTGATCCTCACAAACATGGTTGGAGAAGATCTTTCAAACTCTATCAATTTTGATGTTGTCAAAAAATACTATCTTTAAAAAATAATAATATAAAAAAAGAAGAAAAAATACTATGTTTAAAAAATAGCTCGTTAGGTTGCAAAACCCAAAAGGGTGACCTAGGCAAAAGTTAAAGTGACTTGGTGAATTGAAAACTTGAAAGAGCGGCTTAAGCAAAAATTAGGTTAAATAAACTCTGCACTAAACTAAAAACTTGCAGAGGTCGTTCAGAAGAAAAAGGGGCAAGATTTTAGTTACAAGAAGGTGTTTCAAAATGAGACAATTCTATTTGGAAGTTTTGTTAATGGGTAGTCAATTTACATGAGAGACTAGTATTGTTCATCTATAAAGCGTCACTTAAGTAGTATAATAGGTCACTACTTTTGTAATCACTCTAATCATTTATTTGATGTATTTATTTTTCCATTACACGCACTATAAGTCTTCTTTGTAAATTAACCTTGTTTTTTTATTATTTATAGTGATCATATTTTGGTTTCAAATGACTGTCTCTTGACTTCTGTCACTTTTTGTTCAGTGTATACATCACCTCGTTAATTTACTTGTTCAAATTCTTTAATAATGTTAAACAGTTATTCTATTTTTATTTCAATAATTATATATTAAAAGAAAGCATGTTAATTGTAAAAAAAAAAAATACAGTTGCAATAATAGGTTTTAAAATCTACGGTAAGTCTGATAAGTTCAACGTGACAGAAAAAGTTAACACTTCATGACAACTCAAAAGTAAACAACAATTCGACGTGACTGATGTGTTTGTTTAATAAGGATCGAGAAATTTGAAACCTCAAAAAAAGATAAGAAAAAATTTGTTTTGATTTAATAAGTCTCATCACAGCATTTGATTTCATCATGCAATAACTTCATTCCAATTGTTAACATTCATTCAAGTGTTGCAATCGCATTATTACATTAACATGCATTTATTTTATCTATTGTCATCATTTGAAGTTCAAAATATGCTTTACAACCTTTATTTTTAGCCTAAACTCAAGATCTGATTGACTACTTTACCTCTTTATCAAAATTTAAAAACTGATTGATCTCCTTATTTTTCTACCTTACTTTTACTGTCACAGTTCATAACTTAACTCACACTTTTTACTTTTTTTTCAAAGTTCAGGATCTGACTGGCAAATTTCACTTTTACTGTCATAGTTCATAACCTAACTCCTTTTATTTTTCTTTCAAAAATTCAGAATCTGACTGACACATTTCACTTTTACTATCAAAGTTCAAAACCTGACTGATACTTTTACTTTTTTTTTCAAAAGTCCAAAATCTTACTGACATCGTCCTTTCATTTTTATTGTCAAAGGCACAAAAAATGACTGGCTCTTATTCACTCTTCTTTCAAAGTTCAAAATCTGACTAGCATCTTTCACTTCTAACAAAGTCTAGTACTTCACTTGTAACTTATGTTTTCAACATAAATGCAGTATCGGTTGAGCAACTTTTATTTTTAGTTAGACTTTAATGCGGTCTCACAATTTCTTTGTTATTATTTGTTTGACATAAGCCACTAAACAATTAATCACGTGATAACCCTTATGTTATTTGTCTCACGGCTAAGTGTTTACCACACTTATCTTTACATTTTGTGCACTTCGTCATTGTCAAGCAAAATCGATTCACATCTTTACTCAATTCTTATCACTCTAGTATAGAATTTGTTCATACATATTGCTTGATAAGAACTGAGTAAAGAGGGCAAGTATGAATAAATATTTTTCATTTCTCTTTTTTCTTTTTCTTCTTATTTTAATTAAATGTAATAAAAAATGAGAAACTCGTAGAATAAGGAACACGCAAACTACTCCCACCGCCTGCAAATATACACTCAGATTCAAAATTGCGAAAAAAATGAAATAGAGTGTTTAAGGAAGGAAGAAAAGATGTGATTCAGAAAGCAAAAATAGAATATGACAGAATATAAAAGAAGATAGCTGAAAAAGATAGGAGGGGGGAGATAAAAAAAGATCATTCGAGAAG